AAAAAAAAAAAACAGAGTAAGACTCTGTCTCAAAAAGAAAAAAAAAAAATTTTGTAGAGAAGAGGTCTGACCTTGTAGCCCAAGCTGGTCTTGAATGCCGGGTCTCAAACAATTCTCCTGCCTTAGCCTCCCAAAGTCCTGAGGTGATAGGCTGGGTGATTGTTGAGCGACAGTGGTGCTGAGTTTGTGGTAAGGAAGAGTGTAATGGATACGGGGGCAGTTAGGTGCTGCCCCCTTGGTTCCTGCGAAGGCCCCTGCAGTTTTACCCTCCTTTGATTGCCTGTGCACTGTCAGTGCAGATGTCAACACAGTGAAATGGCAAATGTTTGAGTAATATTAAAAAAAAATAGTTGTGGCCTCACAGAGCTTCACAAGGTCTTGGGAACTGTAGTTTTCCAGGAGCTACATTCTAAAAAAACACTCATCTGATTTTCTGAAATGCCCATTAGATGTTGGGCCTCTGGCATGGATTCCTTAACTTTTTTTGAGACAGAGTCTCACTGTGTCACTCTCAGTAGAGTGCTATGGCATCACAGCTCACAGAACCTCAAACTCTTGGGTGTAAAGTGATTCTCTTGCCTCAGCCTCCCAAGTAGCTGGGACTACAGGTGCCTACCACCATGCCTGACTATTTTTTGGTTGGAGTTGTTTAGCAGGCCTGGGCTCGAACCCGTCAGCCTTAGTGTATGTGGCTGGCACCCTACTCACTGAGCTATAGGGCTGAGCCTCCCTAATTCTTTTTTAAATTGACTTTTGTGTGTATTAATAATTTCTTAATTTTTAAAAACATCTTTTCTGTTTTCCATCTTTCTTCCCCCCTAAGAAGTAGCTTTTGGAACCTTGGTAGTTGAATTTTTTTACTTCTGCATTATCCATTAGCTCATTCTTATGTTTTCACCTTTCTTTTTTGTTTCTTTGTTTTTTAAAGAAAAAAAATAATAGTTTATTTATTTATTTGAGACAAGAGTCTCACTTTGTCACTCTTGGTAGAGTACTGTGGCACCATAGCTCTTGGGCTCAAGTGATCTTCTTGCCTCAGCCTCCTGAGTAGCTGGCACAATGCCCTGCTATTTTTAGAGACGAGGTCTTGCTCTAACTGTGGCTCTGGCTCGAACTCCTGAGCTCAAGCAATCCACCGCCTCAGCCCCCCAGAGTGCTAGGATTACAGGCGTGAGCCCCTGGCCCCAGTTAACTTTTTAATATTAGCGCTTATATAAGAGAGTATATTGTCGAATAAAACATTGAAAGGTTGGATTCCTCCAAAATTCAGGTGTGTTAACTAAAAGTTACTGAATCCTTTTTTGTTGTTTTGAGCATTGAAAAGTGATACTATTAAATTAAGACAGATTATACAGAAAAATGATAATTAAAATTTCATAAATTTTTATCAGAAAAAAAGGATAAGCAGTTTTTGAAACTAAAATAACAATTTAGCCATGTAATAATAAAAAATTAAAATTCTTGGCTCGGCACCTATAGCTCAACCGGCTAAGGCACCAGCCACGTACACCTAAGGTGGCGGGTTCGAATCCCCAGCCCAACCCACCAAACAACAATGACGGCTGCAACCAAAAAATAGCCGGGCGTTTGGCGGGCGCCTGTGGTCCCAGCTACTTGGGAGGCTGAGGCAGGAGACTCGCTTGAGCCCAGGAGTTGGAGGTTGCAGTGAGCTGTAATGCCACGGCACTCTGCCCAGGGGGACAGCTTGAGGCTCTGTCTCAAAAAAAAAAAAAAAAAATTAAAATTCTTATATACCTAAACATATTTAAATAGTTGACTAATGTACTGCTTAAGGAAGGGATGATTATTTGGTAGGTTTTATATCAAATACTTTGTGTCAAATATTGTGCTTAATAGATGCTTAATAAATATTTTCTAATTTAATTCTCTCAAAGATTGTGCAAAGCCAGGATACTTGCCTTCATTTTAATAACAAAGAAACATGTTAACAGTTAAGTAATTAGCCTAATAGGTAACAGTTAATATTCAAATTCAGTTTTTCTTTTGTTGGCTCCAGAAACCAGGCTTTTTACATAATACTAGGTTATCTTCTAAATTGTATTTCATCCTCTGTAGAACTCAACATTTTTAGTCTCATACCTTTACTTTTTTTATCTGCTTTTTTTTGTTTGTTTTCTTTTCTGATCTTGTTGTAAATAGGCCGCTTAGTGCTAACGTTGTTCACAGCATCTTCCTACTGTATTTCAGAACACACTGGGCTTCCCCTGCCTTCGAATTCCTTCTGCATTCATTATTTTCAGCCCTTCTTTTGATACCTGAACATATTTTAGTTTCTTTTTTAATTTTTGACTCTACTGTTTATCCCAACCTTCCCAATTAGACTATAAGTTTTTGGAGGTAGAAAAAAATCTCATTTGCCATTAACCAGGTGTGGTGGGTCACCTGTAGTTCCAGGTACTTGGGAGGCTCAGAGGATCACTTGAGACCAGGAATTTGAGGTTGCAGTGAGCTATGATGATGCCACTGCAGTCTAACCCAGACAGGAGTGAGACCTGATCTTTAAAAAAATAAAAGAAGTTCATTACAGCTTGAATAATGATTATTTTTGCATTTAGAAACACAGTGGCTGAGTTGAAATGGTATTTTGGGATCACGTGGCTCAACTACCTTCATTTATAGACAGATAAAGAATATAGGAACCAGAGGAGGGCGGCAGAGTTCATATAGTCCACCAAATGCAGGCTCCCTCTGGATCATCTGCTGCACAGAGATAGCCCAGTCCTACCAGGAGAGACATTTTCTCTTGTTTTTGCCTCTGCATCCCTACAACATCTGTTTTTCTCTTCTATTTTTCTAAATTGCTTCTTTTGAGTCTCCTACACTGGCTTCAAAGAAAGAAGGCCAATCAATCACTCCTAGTACCTTGCAAGCCAAATTTATAAACAAAAGAAGACTATTTGGTGGCTCGGTGCCTGTAGCACAATGGTTACGGCACCAGCCACATACATCAAGGGTGGTGGGTTCAAACCCAGCCCAGGCCAGCTAAACAATAAGGTGACAACTGCAACAAGAACAACAACAACAACAAAATAACTGGGTGTTGTGGCGGGTGCCTACAGTCCCAGCTGCTTGAGAGGCTGAGGCAAGAGACTAGCTTATGCCCAAGAGTTTGAAGTTGCTGTGAGCTGTGATGCCACAGTACTCTATCCAGGGCAACATAGTGAGACTCTGTCTCAAAAAATAATAATACTATTTGGTGAGCAGTGGACTCAGAATAAAGGGGTGCAGAACTGCTGGAGATGGGAGGACTTGCTGGCCATCTCCAGTCCACGGCAGAGATCTCCCTTTCCTCAGCCCCCTGCTAGAGTGCTCAGGTTCTTCTCCTGGGCTTTTACTTGTGTTTCATGACTATTCTGTTCCTTGCCTTCTTTCAGGAGTTACGTTGCTCCTGTTGATTAAACTAATGCAAATACTGGCTCTTATTTTCTCCTTTTGACATGGTATGTGTTTTGTCTCTATAAATTTCTTTTTCTTAGAGTTTGCGGGGTCTGGTTATTGATTGCTCCTGCCTCTTACTCATTTCCTCCTTTCTAACCCGGGTGTGTAAACTAGACTTCGAAACTACTTTACCTTAAGGATTTAGTTAATATTATAGAAATGTCCTTTTCTCTATAATGTCCTTTTCTCCTTCTTCAAGTGGTCTCTCCTTTTCTTTCAAGTAAGAAAGTTTACTTAATTGTTATTAGAGACTAGCATTCTACAGTGAATGTGTTCAGTTAATTTCTTAAGAATTCTTAAGAATTATTTTCTCTCAATGTGACCCGAAAAGTATTTAAAAATTTTTTTGATTAGAAGTTCCAAAATGACTGAAGCCCCAAAAAGAATGCTTGTTGAAATCACAAGTAAAGCCATTGTTGGTTTGTTTCTTGGAATGGATGGCATTGTTCATTCATTCTTTATCCCACAAGGTCAAACAGTCAATGGTGCATATTTTTGTAGGCATTGTGAAACATTTTCAAGATCTTATGTAAGGAGTTTTTGTAAATGAAATCAGTCTGCCAAAGTTCTCTTAAGAAGACTGAGCTGAGATTTGCAAGAAATGCCAAGGGCAACAAAATATGCCTTTATAAATGATATATTTTAGGTAGGAAAGGAATGGATAGGCCTTTCATAGAGCAGATGGTATAACTGGAACATGTGACAAAAAACAGAACCGCTCTTTTGGAAAGGGCACCAACATGAAAGTCAGACGTTGTGAGTGCAGGTCCCAGTTCTAGTTCAACTTACTAGCTCCCTGCCCTTGGGCAAATTTTTAAAATTTTCTGAGCTTCAATTTGTGTATCTATAAAATAAAAATATGGTCTGCATTGGTTCATGCATCGTGTTGTGAGGTTTATGGAAGCATTTTGGAAACTGCAACAGAAGGTGTTTTCTTGATCATTTTGCTTCTGTGTTTTTTCGTTAAAGGACAAGATAGTCCCTTGGGAAGCATAGAACAGGCATCATCATAAGTTCACGAGATAGTAATTGAAAACATGCACGTGTGCTATAGGTATTATACATCTGTAGGTAGAGTTAACATAAATTAAAATCCTTTATCTTGATATCTGATTCTAGTGGATTTACAGTTGATGGATCAGCTTTACTCAGCAGATCTCCATATGGTCATTGTTTGTCTCAGGAAAAATTTTCAGTTTCTTAGCTCTGTCCTTGACTCTGTTACTTTTATTGTGATTTTAATGAAGTCATTGAAGTCATGTATTTTATATTTGTAGATGAATCTAAGCTATAGATAGTTAAGAGTTGGGACTAGGCAGCTAATAATACAAGTGCTAGAATTTCATGGCCTGCGCTCATTACCCTGCGAGATAAATGTAACCACAGCTTATATTCTGGCAGTTTCCTGTATGTAAAGTCAGGTCATGTATTGCTCTATGACATCTTGGCCACTGTCTATATGGTGGTACTCCCATCAGATACCGTAATTTTACTGTAGCTTTTCCAGTATAGGTAAATATTTAGAGACACAAATACTAACCACTGTGTTAAAATTGTCTATGGTGTCCAGTACAGTAACATGCTATCCAGATATGCAGCCTAGGAGTGATAGGCTATGTCTTACAGCCTAGCTGTGGGGTAGGTGGTGCTGTCTACATCTGTGTAAGCACACTCTCTGATGACTGTATGACCAAATCGCCTCACGATGGATTTCTCAGAAGATACCCCTGTCTTTAAGCAATGCGTGACTATTTCTTCTTTGCATACCATGTTTACATCGTTAATATGAAATGTTTATGCTTTGCTTTTTAGATTTACCATTATATCATAGAATAGTTTCCCCAGTTATTATAGAGATTCTTAAAAATTTCAGTATATTAAGGGGGCACAAGTAGATTTTTTCTTATGTGGATATATAGTATAGTGGTGAAGTAGACTTTTTTTTTAGGGTTGCCTAATGCTATTTGGAGCGGAATAATGTTTTCCTTTCTATTGAACATATAACTGTTTTCAGTTGATTTTTATTTTTCCATTTAAAGTAATCCTCAGTACATGTCTTTCAGGGCATGGTACTAAAACTGAGAGGCTGTGGCAGGAGGATTGCTTGAACTCAGGAGGTCGAGACCAGCCTAAGCAAGAGTGAGACCCTGTCTTTACTAAAAATGGAAAAATTAGCTGGATGTAGTGAGGCATACCTACTCCAGCTACTCAGAAATGAGGCGGGAGAATAGCTTGAGCCCAGGAATTTGAGGTTCCATTGAGCTATGATGATGCTACTGCACTCGAAGTGGGACGACAAAGGAAATTCTGTCTCACACACACACAGAGCAGACTAGATGGCTGTAGGGACTTCCTCCCTGAGGATTAGTTCTAACATCCAGCTTTCCCTCCGCATAGATCCTGGAGTCTCTGTGGATCGTGATGAGCCGGAACGTGAGCCTGCTGTTCACCACCGTCACCACGCTCCTGACCATCCTCTTCTACAGCGGGACGGCCCTTCTCAACTTCGTGCTCTCCCTGGTGTGTTCCAGTGGATAAGTGCCCTTCACATTCCCTTCCCCGTTTAAGTTTGTTCTCGGTTCCACTTGCATTTGCAAATGTCTGACTTCCTCTCATTTCCAAATGTGGTTTTTTAGGTGATGGTGTCCTTTGTTTTGCAGATTATTTTCCTGACCACACTATTTTATCTATTAAGTTCCAGTGATGAGTACTACAAGCCAGTGAAGTGGGTGATAAGCCTGACTCCACTCTCTCAGCCAGGCCCTTCCTCTAATATCATTGGCCAGTCTGTGGAAGAAGCTATCAGGTAGGGAGAAGATTTATTCTGCTTCTTCTTCTTTCAGAAACTGCTTTCTGTGAGAAGCTTGTTTTTTGTCGTGAGCTTCCTAAGAACGTTTAGTGCTCAACTATTGAAGGACTCAGGTGTTTTCAAGACTGTTATCTCATTTTGAGCAGAGCAAATGATATTAAGAAAAAAGTGAAAGCTGTTTCAGAATCCTCTCAAACCTGTGATTTACAGAAATGTAGTAGCCTGTCTCCATCAGCTTTCACTTAGCCCTTTCTTGATCTCGTTCTTATCATACCACTTGTTAAAGAGAACTCCATTTCCCACTATACACCCTCCCACCTCCTCTCAGAACCCTCCTCTGTTCTTAGGAAGTCTAGCTTTGCTCCAGGAGGAGAGTAGATGGCCTCCCTGTTTCTTTCTATTTCCTTCTGTAGCCAGACTGTCCCCTCGGCAGGGGTAGGTGGGATATTGGAAATGCAGAATCTTTGGTTATCTCCAAGTCATAGCCCCTGTGTGCATTGTAGGTTCTTGGGAGAAGCTTATCCCACACATCTGGGGTCCATGTATTGCAGGCTTGGCTTCTGAATGAGCTGCTGCTTCAGCTTTTATTCTCCATGAGCTCTTTCCACGTTGCTGCCTTTTGGCCCCCTGTTATCTTTTGTCATCTTCCTTTCTGATAGGGAGAGGCCCTTTTGCAGTGCAGGTCCACCTCATTCTCTACTCCTGTCCCTCATTGCTCATTAACAAGACTCAACTGCCTTTTTATTTCTTGTGAACAGCTACTCAAGTAAACCCATGTATTTGCCATTAGAGCTCCTTTTTCTAATAAGTTATTGGCCAGATGGTCTTAAGCTTCTCTTGGCCAATGAATACACATTCATTGGCTGCCATTTCTGTTTCCATATACTTTTTTTTTTTTTTTATTGAGACAGAGCCTCAAGCTATCCCTCTGGGTAGAGTGCCCTGGCATCACAGCTCACAGCAACCTCCAACTCCTGGGCTCAAGCGAGTCTCCTGCCTCAGCCTCCCAAGTAGCTGGGATCACAGGCGCCCGCCACAATGCCAAGCTATTTTTTGGTTGCAGCCATCATTGTTGTTTGGCGGGTCTGGGCTGGATTCGAACCTGCCACCTTAGGTGTATATGGCTGGCGCCTTAGCCACTTGAGCCACAGTCGCTGAGCCTGTTTCCATATACTTAAAGAAATTACTATTGTTTGCAGCTAGTCTTCCATAGAAATCTTGATTTCGCCTGATTGATTTGGCTTATTTTTTTCTTTTTTACTGTGTTCATGTAGCAGCTAGAGAGAATACTACTTTTATCTTTAGAAAACCTTCAGTTATATTGGAGTTGAATACATGCTCCTAAGATACATCATCTCCAGGAACTTTGATAGGTTCTCCCCCTTTTTCCGAGTAGCAAGGCCTGAGTAGAGTCTTGACCAAGATCTTTTTTCCTTGATTGGCTATCAAGTGGGATGATTAAAAAAGGTCTTAGTACCCATATGGTACTAAGATTCTGTAAAGATTCTGGGTTTATATCTAACCTAGAGTGCGTATCTAACACAGCAGCTTTTAGGGTGATGCTGTCTTCAGGAAAGTATGAGCTATATAGCACCCTTCCTGAGGCCTATATGACTCTTGGTTGCTATCCTTACTAAGTAGATGAAATTAAGGAAATTCCAGCAACAGATCATCTTTTGTTTATCTACGTGATATTTTTCTGACTCAAAAAAGCTTATGCAAATGTTCTGCCAAAAGGGAAAACTAGTCTGTCTTCCCTATGACATGAAGCTGTTGAGTCAGCCACATCCCAGGCTGGTAGGCCTCTCTAGTCAGTGTGATTTCAGCCAAGGCTTGCAGAAAAATGCCTACCTTGTTCCTAATGAGCTTCAAGCTGATGCTTCCTTTTCTTCAGCTAACCTTCATTAACACTGACTCTTATTCTCACAAGTTTTTCTATTTTCAAATGACAGTTGTTGAATTTTTTTCTTGTTCTGCTGTCTTAGCGTGAGCTACTCGCTGACTGAGCTCTGAGTATCTCGGAGTCTCCTTTTCCTATCAGATATACTGCTACCTTTCTTTCTGTAAGTTAATTCTTAAATGCTGTGATTGCTAGTCAGTGGGAATACAGAAAAAAAATTTTAACAACTTTTAGTACCAGAACTATAATCCTTAATGGTTCTCAAACTTGATAGATTTATGAGAGTCTGATAAATACGGTACGCACTAGAGAATGTATTAGGGCCCAAGTCATGTTTCTAACCAAAGCTATGTCAAGCTATTGTAAACGAAAGAGTGTAATTAACTGAGGATGACTTTTTACAGGCTAAGTTCTTTGGGGTGTTTCTTGACTGGATCAAATTCAAGATTTACAATGTACAGGTTTTGCATACATTCCTCTAAAGAGTATTCTCATATAGATGACATAGCAGTGATTCTGTCCCTAAGAGCTCTTGTCAGGTATTTCATTCTGAAGGAATGTTTCTTCATGGAGAAAGATTTTAAGAAGGAAAATATTATACAAATGGTTGTGAAAATATTATTATACTATCTTCAAAGAATAGTTTAATCTGCAAATTATCAGTGATACCAGATTTTGTAAGCATCTGTCATTATCCTCAGTGTTACAGTCAAGTGGAAATCTAACTCATTTTGTATGATCTGTTCATAAACGTGGACTTGAAATTGGAAGTTAAGTGCATGACCAGACAGTGGAAATAAGTGTGTGTTCTTGATGCTTTGCCTTATGAAATATGTTGCTTTTTTTCGTGATCATTGTCTCATTGATTTTTTTGAACCTTAATTGTAATTTTCATTTTGAATAAGTATTCTAAGTGGAATACATTTGTGATGGGTTTTCATCTCATGAGTTTTGAGTCAGTGGCATGCATCCTTTATTCCCAAGTCATTGTCCTCTCCTGAGCAGCATGTTGTCTCCTGAATGTACACATCACACCCTTCTCCCCCGACGCTCCCATTCTGCTTGCTCTGGTGGAGATATTGCACATTACTAAGTTGCATGTTGTCACGGCCTCAATGCAATTTAGTGTGTGTGATATTTTCACATGAGTGCATGCACACGGGTATGGCTCTTGCTTGCTGGGAGTACAGCTTTCGGTGTTGGTGGGTGGGCATCCTGAAGAATTAGATGTGAGAATGTGTATTCTGTGAGATTTTCATTTGGAAAGTGAACATGCTTCCCATGTGTACCCACCACTTTTGGAGAATTAAGTGTTTGATAGGTTGAGGTGGGAGGGTAACTTGAATCTAGGAGTTTGAGACCAGCCTGGGCAACACAGCAAGACGCTGTCTCTACAAAGAATAGAAAAATTTTCTGGGTATGGTGGTGCATTCCAATGGGAGGCTGAGGCAAGAATATTGCTTGAACCCAGGGTTCAAGGCTGCAGTGAACTGTGATCCTGCCCCTGTATTCCAGCATGAGTGACATGGCAAGACTTGGTATCTAACAAATTTAAAATAAAAGTGTTGGGGTTGAAAAAGAGCATTGATTATTTAGTAAACCAGTACTTTCCCTTTTTCCTTTAAGCAAATTGAATATTCATTGGAAGGAAATTAATTCTTACTCATTCAAGGGTATAAACAATATTTGTTTAAAATACTTAAGGAATAGTATAAATTTGTAAGAAAATACATTTTCAGGCTTGGCGCCTGTGGCTCACATGGCTAAGGCGCCAGCCATATACACCTAAGGTGGCAGGTTCGAATCCAGCCTGGCCCTCCAAACAACAATGACGGCTGCAACCAAACAATAGCCGGGCGTTGTGGTGGGCGCCTGTGGTCCCAGCTACTTGGGAGGCTGAGGCAGGAGACTTGCTTGAGACCAGGAGTTGGAGGTTGCTGTGAGCTGTGATGCCACGGCACTCTACCCAGGGGAAAAGCTTGAGGCTCTGTCTCAAAAAAAAAAAAAAAAAAAAAAGATAAGAAAATACATTTTCATTTGTTTGAAAAGTTCTTTCTCTTAACACTGGAATAGAGAGGTAGAATCTCTTATGCATATTTGGCAACATCAAATTACGTGGAGTTCTTAAATAATATTTAAATATTATACAGTAAATATCTGCCTTTTTAGACTCCCTGATTACAGATTGGTCTAATAAACCTGAACCTTTAGTTTTTTAGGTTTCCAGGCAAAATGACCTTAAACTTTTTTGTCTTATATCTAGTTTCAAATTGTAATGCTTTAAAAATTGTTAATTATATTTTAATGGGCTTATCATAGAACTCAAATGTTTACTATTTGCTTATGTAGCTGAAATGACTTCTTGTTATTTTTTGAGTTAGCATTAGAGTTAGCATTCATGATCACTAGGCCTCGCCAAGGACACAAAACCATGTATTACTGATATAAAATTAAGTTAATATCACTACTTCCAGAGTCTCCAGATGATCTAGTATGATGTCATTGTTGTAGCTTCTGTCTGTGGCTCACAACTATTTCCAGAGAGCAGGGTGGAGGGTACGTGGGGGGGATGGAAGGCTTCGATGGACACGGCTCCCCTTCCACGCCCCTCAGCAGCTCTCTAGGTATGAATGCACAGTGTGGCTGTCTCTCTCATACTGGGAGTCTAATGTCAACCAGGTTTCTGTTCATCAAACTTTGGAGCTGGGTTTCTAGGGCAGATGAATCAGGGAAGGGAAGGAAATGTGACTTTTCCAGAGAAGTTAAGGCTGGGAAGAGGAGGCAGGAGCAGCTTAGGGGAGGTTTGCTGAAGGATACAGGATTACAGCTAGAAAAATAAGTCCTGGTGCCCTACTGCACTGCAGGGTGACTGTGCTAATGATTTTAATATATAATTCAAGTAGGTAGAAGGAGGACGTTGAATGTTTACAACACAAAGAAGTGACCTGGTCAAGATGATGGTGGATGTGCTATCCACCCAGATCTGATCATTATATGTTATATTAAAAGATCACTGTGTACCCCATAAATATGTACAGTTATTATTCTTTCAGCTTAAAAAGGAGGATGGTTAGCATTCAGGGGAGCTGGGGAATCC